GGATGGCCCTAACCCTAAAGTTAATCGATAACATTATTAAGAAATATGAGTGCCTCCGCTTTAGACGTCCCCCAAATAAGTAAATCGCGTACGTAGGTACGTACGGCAAGTACACCGGTACTACATTAACGTTCACCATTATTCAAATCTGGATGGTAAGAGATTCGCGTTTAATACCGAATAATCGCTCATGAAATAATATTACGGAGGTAAGTAACTTTGAAAGAAACAAAAAACTCAAAGATGAACCTTAAGGCCTTTAGAAGGAATTTAAATTTTTTATGTGAAAAAACCTTGTGAAAGATCTGAGAGCACTTCAGTTCCATAAGCTCAATAAAATAGTATGATTCATTTAACGTTAATTCGTCTATTCTTTTTTTCGTTTTTTTTTTTGCACTTGTACTTCATGTGGTTTTGTTCAATACAGGTAAACGCTGATATCTATAACATTTGAGCCAATAATGAACAGCACACGTGATCACAAAGCTATAACGTTCATTTCTTTTAATTTGTAACACACCGTTACTCGCTACTCTGTTCACATACTCTTTTAAGAATTACTTAACGTGTTAAAAAAAATAAAATAAAAGACCAAATCCTAAAAGTTTCTACATTAAAATTCAAAAAGGGAACGTTTACACTATAATGATATTGTACCAATCTACCAAGTTAAATTTTTTAACAATTGGGAAGTCTGTTAAAAAAAAAATGAAAATAAAATGATAGATTTGTTTAAGATTTATTCTTTCCCTCCGTTTCCCCCGTTTTTAAAGTTATAAATTAAGTTTTAAAAACGGTGAATAAGAGGGAGTTATTTTTTTTTTTTTTTTATTCATTGATGGTATATATATAGAAATACATGCCGCATTTTCCCATCAAATCACATAACGATATTATAACGCCCACATTGGAGAATCATGAAATCTAAAGAACCAATCCGAACAAAACCCTGGCATCGCTATATTTCACAAAATGAAAGCGTTAAATATTTTTTTTTTTCTTTTTTTTTTTTTTTAATGAATTTTTAAATGTGAATCCCCCCTCCGATGTGATAAGCGCGTTATAATAGTTACAGGAGTATTTTGCCATATTGAAAAATCGATAATAGATATAAAGTATACATAATTAAAAGCAAGAATAAAAAAAGTCTAGCAGAAAGTAATATGATATAAAATACAAAATAATTGTCTCAACAAATATAATGAAGTATGAAAAATAATACAATGTGTTGAAATCTTAGGGTGTTCTTTCTGCAAAAGAAATTTTTTTTCAAGTATAAAGTGAAATCGCTAAAAAAAAAAAAAAAATCTTTTGTTCCCCCGCCCGCGGGAGCCGTATGAACCCATTAGGTTCCCGCGGACGGGAGGAACGGACTGATACATTCATCGGTTCTCTAAAGTGGAAACACAGATCTACCAATCAATACAAATGCAATTTTATATAACAGAATACCCATGCGTGGAATGCTCGGCAATGTTAGGAATGTAAATAAATTAACAGATGACACAACAGCAAACTGATTTTTCAACATAACCATCGTCTTCAACTTTTTTCTTTTTATTTTTCTTATCTTTCTTTCGCTTCTTTTTGTTATCTGAGCTTTTGGTTAAAGTTCTTTCAAGTTTCAGCGCGACAGGTGCAGCATTGGATTGAACTGGATGAACCATGACATTTTGTCCTTCGTTCTGTGTCGTTAACAAAAAAGGGAAAAATTAGTTACAGAAAACCATTACAAGCAATCATATATTATTATAACATACATTGCTAATTCCTGCCAACATCGCATTTTGCTCAATAGGCTCATTTTCTAGGACAAGTGGTTTCGGTGTAGTTGAAGTCGACGATTCGGAATGTGTTATTGGCTATTAAATTAAATTACAAAAAAAAAATTACAGAATTACAAAAAAAATCACAAAAAAAAAAAAAATTACAAGGGAAATCATGTGAGAACAGAAATAAAAATTTAAGAATTTGGAAATTTACCTCAATATCAAATTCATCATCATCTTTAATCAAAAACACAAACTCCTCTCTTCGCGATTTTCTATCACGTTTTTTAACATCTTCATTAGAAGGATCATCCTCCACTGGATAAGCAAACATTGTATCATCAGTTTGTACTTCAACACTACTATATGTTTTACTATTCCTTCGAGAACTTGGACGAGATCTAGTTGAGATTCTTGTCGGCCTTCTCGGCGCAGATCGCCGCCGACGCCGTTGATAGCTTGCAATTGACGATCGTTTTTTCGCATTCTTTAGTGGCTCATCTTCAACTTGAGTGTTTACTTCTTCAAAAAGATTTTCAACTTGATCAGTTACATCCATATATCCTGATTCTGGTCTTGGTCCCGGTGTAACATATTCATCAAGTTCATCACTGATTCCTAGCAGAGCATCATGATTAGAATAAGGCAATTGTCCATTCATTTTAAGTTTTTTTGCTAAAGTGGGTATGATTATGTCATCATGAGAAATAATGGTTTTTTTGGGAGGTTCATTATTTGTTGGAGATTCGGATTCAAGTTGTTCCTGTAATTCTAATGAATAAGCAGTAATGATCGGACGAGACTTTGACATTCTTGGAGCACGGGAGGTTGGTGAAGTTTGTGATTCCGTAGAGGTTGATTTTGATTCTACCGTTGGAAAATCTTCCGATGATTTTGGACTTAGTAAAAAGCTTCTTTCATTTGTAAGAGTTGGATTCTGAGCCGTTATGGAGACAGTTTCAGATATTGAACCATTACTAGTTGGAGTCAGTGCTGTTATGATAATTGATTCAGAAGTTGACCCATCATTCGTTGGAGTCTGTGCTGTCATTGGGGTAATAGGATGACCTGTCTCATAAGTTGATTCACTACTAGACGGAGTCTGTGTAATCATTGGAGTCATGGGAGGACTTCTTGGTGGAGTGGCAGGTGGAGTAGCTATACTCTTTACTATAATGTTATTATCATCATCTTTATAATCATTCGTATTGATTTTTTTACTTTTATGGTTACTTTTTAGTGTATTCTTCCTGGTAATATATCAGAACATCCGACAAATAATTTTA